TAATCAAGCCTTGAGACGAGCAACAGATCCATCAGGATTTACTTTAACGGAAAAAACCCACTTACAACCAATGGCTCTCTTACCTGCCGGGAGATTCACAAGATCCCAAGTACCATTAGTAGCTAAGGCAGCCATCTCCTCTTTCATTGCTTCTTTCATTGTTGCACCCCAACCAGGATGGGACAAAGCTTGGACAACAGTTTTAGGTATAGAGACAGAGTCTAGGTTACTTACAAAATAACGAGATGAAGAAAAAAGATGATCATAACTGACAAAAGAGGAAACAGGATAGGTACACTTGCGTTTACCTTTTCGAAGAGCAATGGGAAGGTTAAGGTTTGACTGGGGAGTGGATGGCACAGGATGGCACAGGCTTCAGGTTGAAGTAGAGTGAACCGGATCTTCTGTTGAAGTGGGAACGTGGAGGAAGTGAGTCGAGAGGTTCCTGGTCCTCTTGGAATAACCTGTTCAAACGAGGGTCAAAACGAGGGCGAGCAGATGCTGGTGCAGGAGTGGGAATAGGAGTAGACACTGTAGTAGGAGCAGGTGCAAGTTCAGGAATAGGAGCAGGAGTAGGAGAGTTATGAAATTGCGGGATAGCATAAACTAAAAACTCATCATCCTCCCCCTCACTCTTATATATAGAAGAAGGAAAAAAAATGGAGTATTCTCAAAAAATGTGAAATATGCAGAAATAATATAACGGTCAACATCGGGAGAGAAACAACGATAACCTTTTTGACGTCGAGAATACCCAAGGAAAACACAACGAAGGGACTTTGTATCTAATTTGAAAACCTGTGGATGAATATCACGAACAAAACAAGTACAACCAAAAATACGAGGTTCAATGGGAAACAGAAGCTAAGAAGGAAACAAGAAATTATAAGGAAACAAGAAATTATAAGGAATTTCACCATTAAGCACAGAAGAAGGCGTGCGATTAATAAAAAAACATGCAGTAGAGACAGCATCAGCTCAAAAATGTATAGGGACCTTCATTTGGAATAGAAGTGCCCTAGCAACCTCAAGAAGATTCGATTTTTTCTTTATGCAACCCCATTTTGAGAAGAAGTATCAACACAAGATGTTTGATGGAGAATACCATTCTGTGACATATAAGATTGGAAGGAACTAGATAGATATTCTTTAGCATTATCACTGTGCCATTATCACTGTGCAATATGCGAACAGATGTATTAAATTGAGTTTTAATTTCAGCACAAAGGAACAAAAAATAGAGAATATCTCAGAACGAGTTTTCATTAAAAATAACCAAGTAACATGAGAGTAATCATCCATAAAAGTCACAAAATACTGAAAGCCAGTTTTAGAAATAACAGGACATGGACCCCAAACATCAGAATGAACTAACTCAAAAGGGGATGAAACTCGGTTATTTACTTGAGGAACTAAAGATAAACGATGATGTTTGGCAAATTGACAAGATTCACATTCTAAAAATTGACAAGATTCACATTCTAAAATTGACAAAGACTGAAACTGCGGACATAACTTCTTTAAAGTAGACAATGAAGGATGACCCAAACGACAATGAATTTCAAGAGGAGATAGACCACCAGCAGAAGCCAGAGATAATGAAACTTGTTCATCCAGAAGATAAAGGCCACCAGACTCACGTCCTCTACCAATAATCCGCTTCGTCAAAAGATCCTGAAACATACAATATGTAGAATAAAATTTAACACAACAATTTAGTATACGAGTAATTTTTCTAACCGACAGTAGATTAAACGAAAAATGAGGTAAGCAAAAAACAGAAGACAATGGAAGAGATGGAATGGGATTGGCAATGCCAATACACTTGACAGAAGATGTGGACCTATCAGCTAGAGTAACATGACGATTAAATAGTTCAAGTTTTTTTAATGAGGATAAGAGACTGGGGTTACCTTCAAGTTCTTTTAATGAGGATAAGAGACTAGGGTTACCTATCATGTCATCTGTGCAACCAGAATCAATAACCCACTTTGATCAGGTAGACATAAGACATGAAGGAGGAGTACCAGAATTGGCAGCAGCAGCAATCAAGGAATCAGTAGGCTTAGAAGAACGGTATCTAGAGAGCTCAGCATATAGAAGAATGGCTATCCTAGAGAGAGCCAGCATACTCCGGTAAGTAAGAAATTGTACCTACAGGTGTTACTCAAAAGAAGCTAACGCAAATCTTGACGTGGCCCGTATTTATCCTTCGATGGCTTATTTTTGATCAGTTTCTTGCAATACCGTGGAGTGTGACCAAAGTTCCATGGCCAATAAAATGGCCAAATAAAGAATACTTGGCCTCCCGTAGTAATCGGTCCCCATTATACGGTTATTTCCTCCCTCGTCCTCTATTTCCTGGCCTGCCTTAGATACCTGATGTCCGACTCACAAGGGCACTATTATCAGAAGGGGCAAGGGTATGAGAGACCCTCCACAGTACGTAGCAATCCTAGCACAAAGTCTTCCTGAAGAGAGGTAACCATCCACTTCCTGAAGCAAATCGTGCACCTTGGCAGTTTCAAAAATCCGGTGAGCAACGCAACCTGCAAGACAAACTTCATCACAGCCATTGTTCTCGCATGGTCCTATTGAACCTACATCGGGACTTAAACAGGCAAATAAACATTAATAAGTGGTTGCCTCGTAAAATCTTCCTTAAATTCCATGGATAATCAGGCGTTAAGGGGCTTAATGCTCCTGCTTGGTCGGCTCGATAAAATCCTTTGCAGACCTCATACATACCGCGAACCAGACTTACCTTTTCCCGCAGTACAAGGGAATTCTCAAAGATTATTCCACTAATTCTTTAAACAACCTTCACAACATGATTGATTAACCCAACCCACTCTTCACTGTCCAATAGCAATCGCGAATCAGGCAGAAAGATTAACTTACCGCATTCTTCCATGACGCCAACGTTTTCGAGTCTGTCACCAGTGCGCCGGAAATCATCAGTCGACATATTCATCTTTTTCCAACACTCCGCAACATTAACATTCTAACTGTCTTACCTCCTAATCTAAATAGCTTAGGTCCTTTCAATTTATGTTCTGTAACCTTTTATTCATTGCATGGGATCAATTCAGAATAGTAGTTTTTTTAAACATGTCATGTGCAGGATTACATTACTTTAATATCATCAGTGAGATGATCATCTTTTTCAACACTCCGCAAATAAATTCTAATTGTCTTACTCCAATCTAAATAGTTAGGTCCTTTCAATTTATGTTCTGTAATTTTATTCATTGCTGGGATCAATTCAGTAATAGTAGTTTTAAAATTTGTATGTGCAGGATACATTATTAATAAAAACTAAACACCCTACCAGCAACGCAGAAAGAGATACCAAAAACAAATAGCTTTTCAATGCAAACAGGAGCCAAAATAACCTGAAACGCCAAATTGACAAAACTGAGAACGCCCCTACCAAAACTTCGCCGGATTGGAAAAACAACCACCTGAGTAGACTGCTAAAGTGGAAACGAAGCAAGAGAAATAAATCTGATTGCCGGAAATAGCCAGACGCGCCGCCACACGCCGGCGCGTGGTACTGTAGCAGAAAACAAAAGGCGGCGCGTGAGGCCCATGCGCAGGGAATCCGGTGACCGGATTTGGATGGCACGCCGGTCGGCAGCTGGGGAAGCTTCTGAGGTAGGCGGTGAGACAAAACGGTGACCCTAGAACGGTCACTGAGATTGACAGCCGCTGGAAGTGCAACGCAAATGGGGAAAAAAAAAAAAATTTAACGAGCCTTCGGCTCTGATACCATGTGAATTTAATGTGGAGAAATATTTTTTCTTGCTTGTATTTCATCAATAGGGACACATATATATATACACATACAAAATACTATAAACCTATTAGGAATCTAACTCTTAACAGAGTTATATTAACAACTAATCCTTAACAGAAACTAATTAAGGAAGGTCCTACACTTGTTTCCATGCAAATCCATGTACAAATATGTCCAACATTGACTCCTAACACGGGCTTGGCATAGAATTTTTACCCAAGCTACAAATTCAGCACTTCTGGAACATGGCTGTGTCATGGGTCACGGCCAGGCCGTCTACTCCACTGCCTCAACATATTTCTACTATTTTTCTTCCTTTTCAGTTCCACATCTTCTTTGATGCAACTATTAGCTAATTTCCAAATAAAATCCTACAAAAACCCTTCAAATCAAGCTAAATAGAACTTAAGGAAGAATTATTAAAAACATAAATAAATCTAAACAAAAATTAATTAAAGTAATTAAAAACCATAAAAATCCTAATAAAAAATATATTAGAAATACTATAAAAATAAGACTTATCATGAGGCTGGCGTTGCATCATAGTATCATCTTATAGCGGAAGTGGAGTATATAGAGGTTACTCCACTTGATTTTTTGGATGGTGTATAATGATATAAATAAAGGGATACTTCTAGGCTTCATTTTCTGAACTGAATCAAATGGCATTCTATTCGAGTACCCAAGGTTTTTTGGGGTTGCAGGTTGGCATAACTATGACACAACTTCTCATCTTTTTGTTAGTTGGCAAATGAGTCTCGTTCTGTGATTAATATTTTTTTTTTTAAATTCTTCTTTCTTTACAAACATTGTATAGGAGTTAATGCTTTCCTCTAGGTTATCCATTCTTACCAGTTACCACTATTTTGCTGGTTAGAAGGGAAACACAAAATTACTTATATTTTGACATCGTTTAAAAAGTGATTTCCTTCTCATTTTGAAGTGTTCACTATAAATTTCTGCCACTATTTTTATTGATTTTAATAGTCACTCGCTGATACATGTTAAATCTCATTTCTTTAATTTTACACTTTTTATACATTTCTTTTGTTCAAAAGGTGATTTGTCTCCTTTAATAGTCCAGATGTATGTTGCCACTTTTTTACAAAAAAACGAAAACTGTCTTTATTAATTTTTGTTTTTTGAGATTTCTTTTTCTCTTTCTCTTTTTATTTCCTTTTTTCTTTATATGCCTAGTCACTTGTTCCTAATCTGTTATTTTGTCCAACCTGGGAACAATTTATATAGTTTGTAAGTGTTATAATTGCAGATTTCGCAACACACTATCTCTCAGATTCCGTTTTTGGCACATGAGAAGAATCGCCATGAGCAAGATGTATGAATTGCTGTTCTGGGATTTTAATTCATTCTAGTTCTTTTCGATATTGATCATTCAGACAAGACTCATATATTGTTTTATATAGATAACTGAGAAGTGTATCAGACGGATGGGAAAAACTTTGCAAGATGTCTTATCAGACTGGATTGGCAAGTTGAACAACAGAGAAATTGGTGTGTTGATTAACTGTTTATCTTCATTTAAAGTTGAAAAGGAGGTTGTTAGGTTTGAAAGTTGGACACGCACTTGTTTCTTTTTATTGGGCTATGTTATTGGCCAAGTGTTGATCATTTTTCCTCTTTCATCATCACACAAACACATTCCTAGATAAGCTCCAAGGAATGTTTTGTAAGGCATTAAGGAGGGAAAAATACTAAAACTCCTTTGAGGATTGGCATAAAATACACATTCTTTCCTTTCACATGAATTTATTTTTGAAATTCTGTGGAAGATTATACTTTGTTTTATTTACAAAAAGAAAATATTTCTGTGAAATTATATCTGCAGATCTGACAAGGATGCCACTCAATCATCCAGAGATGATAACTGCAGGAACGCATGTTTGCAAGTATGGATTTTCACTTTTTTAATTATCTTTTCCTTTTTTAATTATTACTTTTTTCCCATGGATTAATGGTTGTAATTTATTTTCAGTGCTATGAGAAGCAATGCAGAAGATAGAAAATTATAAATTAAGATCTCAACAAGAATATCATTAAAGAATAATAAAAGAATTAAGTGGGGAAAATACTACTGCGGCAAGAATATAATTTAAGAATAATAAAAGGGTTAAGTAGAAAATACTATTAGGCAAGAACGTAATTAATGAAAACTAAAAGGGTTAAGTCGAAAAATATTATTAGGCAGAAATGTAATAATAAAAACTAAAAGGGTTAAGTGGGAAAAACACTGTTACCACAATAGTGTTTTTCCCACGTCGCTTGGTAATATATAATAATATAACAAACATTTTACATCTATCACTTTGAATTCATCCAGAGTCCAACAAGAAACCATCAAAGGAGAAATAAAATCACATTCATAACTTCTAAAGTCTATGATAAGAGCACAGTTAAACAGCCAAGCAACAAGGTATAAGGTATTTTTAATCTTGTGGCTTGGGCTAGCTGAATTAGCTGAGTAGAATGTATAATCACAGACAATCCAGGATTTGGAATGAATAACTTAGAGAATAAGTGGAACTGCAGACCAATAATTGGTCTGAGGAAGAGTTTGGAAAAAGAAGGGAGCAAAAAAAAAAAATTATGGTGAGGTTGCTGGTGTTAAAAAGAAGAGGGCAGGGGATTTTCATGTGTGCATGGTGAGGCAGAACATTGCCCGAGAAGGCTTCTCTCTCTCTCTCTCTCTGCATATTATATATATTTGCTGGGTTCGTTAAAAAGAAGAGGCAGGGGATTTTCAGTGCTGCATGGTGAGGCAGGCAAACATTGCCCGAGAAGGCTTCTCTGCTCTCTTCTCTCCTGCATATTATATATATATATATATATATATATATATATATATTATATAATAGTTATAGTTATTGTTATTATTTTGAGCGTATATAGTTATAGTTATTGTTATTATTTTGAGAAGTGAAAGGTCCAAGAGGAGCAGCGAACATGTGGTAAGCAGGAAGTGATCTTTTGTTAGAGATGACAGGAACACAGATAAGACTGAATTTTTTATCTTTTGTAATTTCTGGTCTAAATCTAATAAAACTATGTATTGGTGGGTTTTAGTGGGGTATATGTACATTTCATCCTACGTGACAACAGAAAAAGTCCGGGTTTATCTGAAACTTGCTTCAAACCTGATAAAAAGTAGAAAACATCTGTGCCAATTGGCACAGATGCAGGTTGGTTTCAGATTTGGTAAGAATGTTAATCTAGCCATGTCATTTTTTAAAGTTTTGGAATGTACTGATAAAAATAAACAATTTTTAATTTAGATTCCTCTTTATACTGGCTGTAAATATTCGATATGGCTAGCATGACTGGTTGCATTTAAGGATGCCATAGATGCATTAGGTTGGTGAATGTCTATTTCTAGAATAACAACTATCGGTGGTGCCACTATTATTTGTTGCTTATTTTTATCTCTGTTTTTGATGCAGTGATTGTTATGACTATCTGGTCTCCTTTCTCTTGTACTGGTTCCGGATTTCATTGCCCAGACATGTAAGTTTCATTAGTTTCAAGTAACGCTATTGGACTTTCTCATGTTTCTGATTCAATGTTTTCTCCTTTTTAACCTATGGCCTTTTTATTAGTACAAAACAGAATAATCATTTAAAAGGAATATAATCCAGAATCATGTTGTTAATTCCTAACACACACACACTTCCCCTCCCCCCCCCCCCCCCCCCCCCCCCCCCCCCCCCCCCCCTGCGGTGTATTGAGTGTCAGTGGTTTCCAACGATATATTGATGTGCTGAAGCTTTGAAGTTTTAATTCCTCTAGGAGTAGGGTGAAATTTGATAGAAAAGAGCATTGGGTGGACAAGTTATATATATTTGACATGCTGAAGTTTTGAATTTTACCAGATTGCTTTAATGTTGGAATTGAAGAGGAGAGTGTTATATTAATGACATTTGACTTAATTGAAGAGGAGAGTGTTATATTAATGACATTTGACTTCTTATTTTTGAAAATTATAATTTTGGGGTACAATATACATGAAGATCATTTTTTATTCATAAATGGATATTGGAATAGAATAGCCATTCATGAGGAATATAATGGATTTCATTGTTTGGTTCAGCAGCATTGCATTCAGAATGTTCCACCAAACCATAATAATTCTTGTAATTAGCAAGTTGCACTCAATGTCCTAAAATTATTAAAATATGGTAAGATAAACACCTGATATGATTGATTTTCAAATTAATGAAATAATCAATTTGTATGTCTAAGTCCACCCTGATTATTATGAAATTAGAATCTGTATTCCAAATGAGTATTTATCTGCGTGATGGAATGTGTTTTTAGAACTCATTTAGAAAGTGCATCGCATCAATAAAATAATTTTTTTCTGCACATCTGAAGAAAATTTGTGAAATATAACTGATCTTATATATCCTTGTGTTCATGAATTCGGGTTTTTGTGTTCATAGCGAATCCAGAATGACCTACTGTTTATGTATTTATTTTTTCTAAGTAGATGTTGATTTATGATGACAAAAGGGTCTGCATATGTTGTAAGCAGTTCTCTTTTTGACCCATTACCTTTTTGTTTTTGTAGTATCTCCCACCTGAAGCACGTAACAGGGAAGATTGCTGGTATGGATTTGAATGTCGGACGCAACACCATAATGAAGAACATGCACGTAAGAGAAATCATGTGTGCCGTCCTTCAAGGGGTACTTTTTTCGCACAGTAGTAATACAGTCATAGCATATAGTTAGACATATGTGCCACCAATTGATTATTTACTGGGGTATTTTTTTTTTTTTTTTTTTTATTTACTGGGGTATTTTTTTTTTTTTTTTTTCATTTTTTAGTATACTAATACTATTCATGTATCTGGTCATTTTGATTTACAAGGGGGCTATTTTTGGCTAAACTAGTTGCTGGAGCCATAATTTCAAAATAGAATACTGTTGGCATTATTTTTGAGGTTTGAGAATTCCAGGAGACCAAAACGGTAGAGCTTGGACAATAATCGGCCTGAAACCGAACTGATTGTTCAATTCAGTTCAGGTCATTTTTTTCTTAAAAAAAAGTTCGGTATTTGGTTTCTACGTATAGTAGGAAAATAGAAATATTTGGGTCAGTTTTGGATTTTTAAAATTTCTTTAGAACCAAACTGATTGAAAAAGTTTAAACCAAAACAAAAAATTTTAAACGGAATCAGTTTTATTTTCAAAGTAATTTGTTGTGGGTTTAATTATTATATTAGAAAGCATCAATTTGTTCAGTTTGTATTAATTTCGAGTTGTTTTGAACTGAACTGACGAATGCCTTGGCTTTCAAAAATAGTTCCTTTCAAAAGGGCACTTTAGTGAGAAAGCTAGAAAAAGCAGAGCATTTTGGTTTCTTGGATATTTTGCCAATTTTTCAGTCTAGAATTGTCTTATTTGTATGTAATGAATATTCTCCCTCTCTTTCTTTACAATTTAATGAGAAGATAAAGACAAACCAGCCTGTTCTAGGTAAACCTTAACTAATAAGATAGAGATAATTGAACCAATTATATTGTAATAAATATGTTAAATTTTCTTTCTTATATATTCTATATATTGCCGAATATGGTCTAATAAATTGATGATGTCACCATCAGATGGTTTTTGGGCTCCGGGAAGAGGGATGTTTTCATTTTTGCCGAAAATGATTGGTAGCAGACAAACCATATTAATAAAAAACTATCATGCTTCATTTACAGTGGATTTCCTTGTTGCTTTTTAAACACCCCTATCTTTTCTTTTTTCCGGGCCCCCTTCTACTTCTCAATTCAACCATAGCTCTCATGCTGCCTTGAAGTGCCTGCCTCCTACATTGCCAATCGCTTTTTGACTTTTCAAACTATGAGCTTCATTCTTTTACGGTCCCTTCCCTCCGTTTATTATATCCCAGGTCTTATTCTTGTCCTCGAGGGCAGCCAATTCGGTCCTCAAGTATTATTTTTAAAAGGATTAAATGTTCTATAGTAAATTATTTTAGCTAATTTTTTCTTTTTTTATTTTTCAGAATATTGAAATAAAGAAATGTTAGAAATTGCGTACCCGGAAATTTGTGTTTGAGACCAGTTAACTTCTTATTTTTTATTGGATATTTTGCCTCTTAATGCTTTCAAAATATCTATAACCGCCCCGCTCGGAAATGCACCGACTCGCCACTGTTTCCAGTTATAAGTGTTTCACAATAATTGCGAATTACATCGAATTATTTGTCACCTTTAAATTTTTTTCGTGAAATGAATGACGAATATGTTCGGAACTTTGTCTGCTCTTCGAAAAAATTTGTGTACCTTGCTCTTTCTCTTGTTTGTAAATTCTTATCATTAAATTTAGATTCTTGAGTTTGGAATTTCTAAATTATTTATTTAGATATCTCTCAAGATTATATTAGTCGGGGAGTGAAATCGAAGATGTTGTAGAGGATTAAGACTCATGAATATTTGTGTTTCACCAATCTTTTCCTTACCCTTTGGCAGAACTTAAGTTTCCCTACTTGCCATTATAGAAAAATAATATGTAACTTGAAAAAGTTGAATAAAAAAAATTTAGGGAGATAATTAGAGATTTGGAATTTGAAGAAAATTAATTCACAATAATTTGACAAAATAATTGGAGATTAGACTTTGAAGAAATTATTTTTCAATTATTTGGACAATAAAAAAAAAATTTTAATTTGGGGAAAATGAAAATAGAGAGATTTTAAGTAGAGAAAATATAGGCCAAAAAATTCATTTTGCCACAAAATACCCTTAAACTAGCCATGTATGTAGCCGTTTATAGTTGTTAGGAGGGATTAATTTGGGATTTTCACCCAAACTATTTTTGAAAAAAATAAGCAGCTGGAACCGGTTGGAATCGTCGGTGCTCTAAAGCTGTTTAGCATAAACTCAAAATTCTGTTGGAACCATCGGTTCCAACCATTAGTTTCAAACCGTCTGTTTCAACTGTCGATTTACTAGCTTGGGAAAAAAACCGTCTGTTCTTGGAAAGGTTTCGGCTTGATTCTGGGAATCGTGGTAACGATTTCAAAAATGTGGAACCAGAACCGACCAAGGCCACCGGTTCTAAGTTCCGATTCGGACCAGCTCTGGTTTCCCACTGGTTTCGTAACCAATGGGATTCTGGTTCCGAAAATCATATATGGTCGGTCTATTCTGGGCAAGGGAGTTGATGCTAGATTAGTTCCGCGTCTCTCATGAATGAACGCACTTTGTCGGCTGTCGGTTTCAAGCTTGGTGCCATTTTGGCTCGTGGATTGGTCTAGGGCCAAGAATTTCGGGAACAAGCGTGGCACGGTAACTTCACTTTGACTGCCAGTTGCATGGGCGGAGCAAAAGCAAGTGGTACGGGGTCAAAAATTGACTTCAACTCAACTTTTTAAAAAAAACATTTATAAAATAAGATTAAATTGAAAATAGAGTAATTGATCTAATTGATTCCACTTAAATTTTTTCTAGCTCCGTCACTGGTCGGTTGAAACTCCAATTTTACATGTAGGCATACAAGGGATTTATGATGTTGTTGATTTCAGTCTCCCAAACTTTTCACGGAACACCTTTCCCTCGTATCCAAAGTGTTCGTCTTTTCTTTTAGATTTGCCACTAGAATTTTCTGCCTCCTATTTGTCTGCTTATGGTGCCACTCTATTAGGCGTTCACCTATTGGCCATTTACCATAACCTTGGATTGTTCATCTTCGGCCAATCTGAGTTGCGATGGTTAACCGAAAGAGGGGTTTGTTTTTGTTTAAGGGTAGCCACGGTTTCGAAACTGAAACGGAAAATTGATGGTTTCGGTTATGATTCTTAGTTTCAATTCCTCAACGGTTCCAAACCCGACGGTTCCTGCTTTTTCGGTGAGTCGCATAATTATAAATAAAAGAAAATATCTTTTTTTTTTTTTTTGAAAAATTAATATTTTAAAAATTGGTAAATAATTTCTAAAAAATAATTTTAATAAAAAAAATAAAAAAAAAAACTTGAACTAATTTTTTTTCAAAATTTTAAGTTGCCATGATCCTTCTTGGGTAAAGGAATTAAGCCCAAATAGCTTTCCTGTTAAACCTGTGTAACTTAAATTCACCTCTTTTACCTTAGGTCACTATTTTCACCGGTTGATCTTCCCAGTTGAGGAACCCATTGTAAAGGTCGTATAAATCTTTCATTTTCTTTGTATTCTCCTTGTGCTCTTAGTTTACCCTTTGCTCCAATCATCTACGCATGATTGTGCTGTCTAGTGAATGCAAGTTAATCATCCTAGATCTTTTTCATTAAGTATTGTTTGCTCCTTGACCTTGAAAGTTTGCTTTCAATCGCAATTAGTTGAGACCGAAGCTGTTAAAAATTTGTTTTGTAATTAGTGCAAGGATTGAAAATGACGACTCCACCAATCTCAGAATTGGAAAATTGTTATCTGCTAAAAACTATACTAAACTTCGAAAACAGGGGTAAGATAACTCTTCAAGTTCGAGAAAAGAATCGGGTCCCCTAGATCTTTTTTTGTCTTTTGTAATAATATCGTTCAGCACACCAACACCTCTACCTTTCGGTTGAAAATTAATTGATTATTTAACTTTGAGAACAATCGGAAGAAGTAATAATGAAACAAGAATATTGAACAAATATTCAATATTATAAAATATATAATTTTTTTTTTTAACTTATTTGCAATACTACATTTACATTGACACTAATCTTCTACATTAAGATTAATATTTCATAATAAAAAGTCAAAATACTCAGATAAAACTTCAAATTAGATCTAGGATCAAATACACATGCAACAAGAAAAAGAAGTGGTATATTTTAAAATAAGCTAAAAACCATTTTTGTTTCATTGATTAAAAAAAAACATTGTAATTAAAACATTCATTTTCAAATTTTTGAAGTGCCAACTAATAATATTATGCAATAGCAAAATAAATGATATGTAGGATTAATAAATCCCACTAAATTTATATGTAAACATCATTAAAAATTTTTAAATATTCAAAATTTTTGCCAACAAAATATCCAATTCTGTGGATAATAATTAATTTTTTAAAATATTTTTTAGTAAATAAATATGCACAAATAATTCTCTTATGGAAAAGATTTCGTTTAATAATTCATATGTTGAATTCCAACGAGCTTGTGACATCCCTTTGAAAAAAATGTTTTGGGCCTTTTTTTATTTTCCTTATAAAATTGAGCCCAACCTTTTTATCACCTTTGGGAATGTCCGCATAAATATGAAATAGCTTTTCTAATTGAGAAATAAAATGAATCGAGAACTTTTTAAAACTATCTTGTACACATAAATTTAAAACATGGCATGCCACATCTAATGTTAAAAAATATTCCACCAACAATTTGGTCACAAATGCTTTAAGTTCAATATTGATTTAGTGTTGACAGAGGCATATTCAATGAAATTGAAAAATTTTTTTGTCAATTATATTTTCATCTAAAAATTAAAACAATCATTCTATATATGATTATTTGCCAATATGTTTATTCATCAAAAACATAGTGTGAATGCAATAATTCTTTTTTGAATTTTCCAATCATTCATCAATCCAATGATATGTAATTGTCAAATATCATCCAAATATCACAAAAATAAACCACAAAATTTTATTTCAGAAAATAAAAAGTTCTAACTCTTCTTTTCCTGTTTTTATATAAAGAAATAATAGCCCATTTTACGGTATTTCTTAGCACCTTCTTTTACAGAATGATTTAAAGTTTTTGACAATATTTTGATTAAAATACACTTTTTCCACCAAAAAACAAAGATATAAATGTTTCA